ACGTTAGAAATCGCCAACAAATACTACGTACATTATCATGCAAATCTGACAAGAAATATATAGAAGGGGGAACTGATTAACTATATGTTCAGTATTGGTTTGCACAGTGTATACTTTAACTAGCTCGTCCGCTTATGAGAGGATACAGACTCGCATGCGAGAAAATTGTAAGTTATATGAAAGTAATCAATCATGTTTTCTAGTTTGAGCAACCAAACGCAGGCCTTAACTCTTTAAGCTCGTAAATACAGATTTAATTTTCCGTCTCACAATTAAACAAAATGTCCAGAAATACGAGAATGATTTGAAATTATTCAGAATAAGTTTGAATTGGAGCGTTCAATAAGGGGCAATAATTTTTTTTGTAGACTCAAAGTGTTACATACTATGTTAATATGAAGGGAAGATCGAGTCAAAGAGAAACACAGAATGATGTTCTCTATAATTTTAGCCTTCCTAAAATTTGAAAATATTCAGTGAAAAACCAATAGCTCTTTTTTTCGGGGGAGTAAAAAATACCGCATATGGTATATTTTGGTATATTTTTGAAGCTAAAAGAGAAGGATTTACAGAAGTCTTGAATAACGTACGGTGGCACAACGGTGACATGTATGTGTTTTTATTTATCTCATGGCAACGAGATACTGTGTCGTGGCCACGAGTTACTTAGTCGTGGCAACGAGATATAGCTAAGTCGTGACCACGAGATACTATGCTGTGGCCACGAGTTACTAAAAAATGAAATCAATAAAATAAAATCAATAAATAAATACAATGAAAAATATAAACAAAGATAATTAAATAAATGAAATTTATTCTCATTTAATCAAAAGGTACACCCGCTAAATGAATTATTTCAACAGAAAAGCCCTTTAATCTTGAATTAATATTGGTAACAGTTTACAATCCGCCTTTAACATTTAATGTCTTTTGTATATTTTTTTCGGCAGCAATACAATTTGAAAAAAACTGCCTTATCATAAATAAATGTAATGAAGCTAACGATTTATTTATTTCTATTACAAAAAAGAAAAGCCGGGTCCGCTTGACGGAATTGTCAAATTCACGTAGACTCTCGGACAAAGATGAGTATATGCACACAATGCCCCAATGCTCTCTGAGGAAAGACTGTCATTCTGCACCTTCATAGGTAGCAATAGTTGGTTGTAAAAATATATTAATTTAAGAACGATAATGGTGTGAAAATTGTGATTAATTTCAGTGAGTGTTTTAGCCTGTTAAATATTTCATTACATTACAATATATAAAAAACGCGTTATATTACACGTTATATTATACGCAAGGATATTTCAAAATCGCCTTTCAGTAATGTCAGTAAATTAATTAAAAATTGTTGCATATAACATAGATCATGTGAATACCATAAATGACTTATTTAAGACCTTTTGTGATAAAGTAAATTCATTAGCAGATATATGCATGTACGACTTTAATAATGGTGTAACTTGCTTGATGACTCATCGCAATGTTTTGCTAACTACAGAGATATTCAACAGTTAATTTTAGAATATTACTTTTCTTTTAAATAAATGCATAAAATTGAGAAGGAATTGTACATTCTTTGTCTTTTTCTACCCCTTTTGGCACGGCAAAGTAATTCTCTCAATCAATTGATTAATATGCCATTGAGAAATTACACCAATTTGTTACTTGTTTTCTGATTTAAAGATGAGAACAAAAATCCAACATACAAGGCTACGTTGGCAGAACTCAGCCTACCTACACAACCCAGCCACACCAGCAGGGCACCCAGAAGGCACCCGAGGAAACAAAAGGGCCGATAAGGGAATAGTGAAAAGTTTGGGGAAAAAATTACTGCGTGCGACCTGCGGGCCGAATAAGAAGCACGTTGCGCAAAACGTGCCACCAAGCAAATGCTAGGGGAATATCTCGGCCAAAAATAGGTTCTGAACCAGACACCTAAAGGTTTCATAAATTTCCTTCGTTGAATCTATGTAAGATATCGCAATATAGATCATTTTAAAAGATATTAATTTATACTGTATATGTTTTGAAATATTTATATAATGAATAAGTCGAAAGAGTCAGTAGGCCTGTTTGTGCCCCGACCACACTACCCCCTATGTTTTTATCACATGTTTAGAACTTTAAGCGCATGTGATTTTTTAAATACAGAATTGATTTGTACGCACGGGCGTACAGAAGTACGCCTAGTTACATCACTGAATGGGAAAATGTTTTAATAATGAGATGGATTAACAGTTTAAAAAAAATCTGGATCATTAAGTGTAGGAGTCATGCCAATCATCAGTTTTGAAGTAAAAACATGGGATCTACGGAACTGGATAGAAACCGGCAATGAAGGAATATTCAGAATGCAAATTGTCGTGACGTTTATAAAGATCTTTTTCGACATTCATAAGGATTCTATTCAGCTTAAAAGTAAGTACAATTTCTAAATGCACTCAATGTGACTCGATGTTGCTGTTGCTTATTATTCATATTTTAAAGTTTTCCATCATGCATTGCAACTTAACTGTTACATCTTCTAGATCCAGCTTTATAAAATAATTATGAAACGACCCAAGAACATCATGTACAATTTAGAAGCATGGCACGTCCTTTCTCCCATTCATCTTCAAATGAGGAGTACTTTGGCAATGGCTACGGAAAATAAACAACAGAGACTTGCCGTAGAGAAATGAAACTTTGCTTTTACAAGAAAATAAGACACTTTAGAGAAAAGTACTGAAAAATCTGGAGGGTGACTTTTTTAAGTTTACAAAAAAGTCTTAATTTTTATTTAACGTCGTTTTGTTAATTCATACCGGGAAAAAGTTCATTTCCATTTTAAATGGGACAGACTTAGTTCTAATATAAACTGAATTGAATCCATAATTTTATGCAAACATAACGCAAGTCATACTCAGACCTGGGGATGATTACATTGATCAGTAATTGATTTAATTACAATTACTTTCAGATTTTATTGTAGTTGATTATATGAGTATAGCTTTTTAATCTTTACTGTATACTTTTCTAAAAATCATAGTACAATTTTCTCAGGTTTGATTTTATCGAAATATTTTTGCTCATCTGGAGGTGTGCAGCTTTAATAACTGATTAATAATACTTTGTGTCGAGGTCAACCTCGAATAAGGGCAGTATGGGATGCATATTCTTGAAGAAGATTGTAATTATTAAACGACTTTCTTCTCTAAGCTAATAGGATGCCTTTTATGATTATAAAATGATATTACATGCAAAATTTCTTTAAATTTGGCCCATAAAAAAGTTATTATATTCGTTGCATATTCTATATAAAAGTCATATCAGTGGCGGACAGAAGATTCCGAATATGACACGTTATTTTCAAACGTTTTTCTTGATTTTCTTTTTTTATATAATTTATAAGCTTAAAGTGATAATACATGCAAAAGTAATCAACGTTGAATACAACAATATTATGACGTATCATAAAAATAAAAATACATAATTATTAAGTCATTATTCGTTGGCGCAGTGCAATTTCTATATTCTATGTCTCAAAAATGTAGTTATAATAAATTGTAAACAGTTCTTTCATAAGTCGGGGATATTCGCATATGTTTTAAATTAAAAATATAATTTTTAATAAACCCGTAAAGCCACATTATCTTTTCCGAACTTTTCTAGAGTAGCCATAGAAATATCTAACCAGTTACGTCCTTCTCTAAAATTCTTTCTTACTTTCTCTGCCATTCTTCATAGAAGATGTAAGTCTTATTAACGAAAGTTTTAAAGTAAACAAATTTTAAGCGTAACTACGTAAAAACTTACGAAATTCTTACCTATGCAATTTTATAGGGTTAACGCACGTTTTTCCGTGTTATAACGTCTGCAGAGTCTCGAGGAACAATTGGTGCCCGAGCCCGGTAGGGCGAGGGCTCCAACAGTTCTGAGGGACTCTGCAGACTTTATAACACGAAATAAACGTGCGTTGACGCTGTTATAGCATAAAATTTTCAAACAGATTCGTGATGTATAGTTAATACAAAACACAATTACATTAAATTCTTGTCCTTGGACTGTATTTATCCAATTCTACATGTTTTACGTATGCGTTTTATTTTTCCGGGGCCAACAACTTGGGAAATTCTCGGAACCGAACGAAATTTGGAATTTTAATTGATTTAACAAAGCTTGGCCTTTAGAGATTTATTATCACAAGAAAAAAACAACGTTACATTACTCTACCCTCTGTCCAAGACAAAACATGACCCTCAGAAATTCTTAGAATGATTTCAGATTGACGGTAGAAAAAAGATCAGTGATCAGAATCGGTTTTGTTTTTTTTTCAAGCAAACAAGTTTATAAAAAATCAGGCACTAAGCATTATTCTCTCAAAGAAATATAAAGAGCAATTATCAACATTAACATAAATGAAAAACATTTTCTCATATTAATTTTGTGTTATCTAGTTTTGTAAGTTAATCGGAGTGTTAAACTGAATGACAGGTAGGTTCAACTGTATTTGTTTACATTGACAACTGTCCGTTTCTTAGAAAGGGCGACAACCAAGATTAGCACCGATGTCTATACGCCGTATTTCCGGCATAGTTACTTGAATTTGCGATTGAGGCCCTCGAATAAATTTCAATATAAAAAAAGCGCATGACTCTTTGGCAAACAGGCCAAATCGTCATTTTTTTGTTTGTTTACTGGGCCCTGTTTGTATTGCGCATAGGTGAAACCGGGCTATAACAAGAGCGCGTGACTATGTTAACACATGGTTTTGGTCCCGTTATAACATGGGCAAAAGAGGGAAAAATAGCCGATTTTATGCTACAATAGTGAAAGACGCCTAAGTTACGTAAAAAATCAGACGTAAGTTAAAACTTACGGAACTATTAAGGGAAGCTTTCAAATCTTGAAAGTTTTGCTTGAATCTTAAACTGATACCTATGATTTGTTTTTTAATTCTATGAGTTATTGTTTGAAATCATGTCTTGAAAGGTTATATCAATGGTAATATTTACATGGTGCCTTTGCGCACAGATATTTATTGCAATTGTACGTGCTACAGCATTCGTAACAGTCTTGCAACGTCTCCCGTTTATATCCTAACACAATTGATCCGCCATTTTGGTTTGATCCGCATTTCTAAAATGAAAAAAAAAACATTGAGACCTTTTACAACGCGCTTTGTTTTTGTAGGTGATAAATTGTCTTCTTATGTCGTCGTTTCCTATTGTATAGGAAACAATAAAAAACAATGCAATAAAATAGTTCGGTGCCATTTAAGTAACTTAAAACAAAACGTACATTAATGTATATCAGGTACAAATATTAGTAATCATTGATTTTAAATCATGATATTTGGCGTTTCATAAAAAATATTTCAAACATATTATTTGGCAATTTTCTTACGCGCTCTAATCCTTTTCCCAGCCAAATTATAAACTTTCTCAGTAATCAATTTCTTCATTTAAGAACTAAAACGTATTAATATGTTTTATTAATAAATAATCTTGCAAAAAACAAAATCCCTTTCAGTCAGTACTTTAAGTACTTTGATTACCTGATTATCTGTGCATCCCATTGAAATCAAAGCCAAACCACCATTGTCCTCTATGCGTTGGAAACAAGACTAGAACATAACACAGAAGTTGACAACCTCCCATGCACTGATCCTTTACAGGATTAGATCTTTGCCGTCAAGATTTTTGACGATATGATTTTTTTCTATTTAGATATTTTTAAAAGTTAACACGGATTTGCTTATGTTTCAAGACCATAAGATGTTAGATATGAAGTAAAATAAAAAAAATCGGAAACATACATATTATTTCAAATATCGCAACGTTTATTTCCAAACCAATGGCGAAATCATTCAAGTAATTAACAATTTCCATTTACTATACTGAACAAAAATGGATTTTTTTTCATCAATCATATCGACAGACTTGACACCAGAGCTCAAGTTATAATGTCGCTGTTTATTACAGGTAAAACAATTGTTCAACGATTTCTTTGGCGTATTCGCCATCTTAATACAACAATGTGATAAGACCATCATCGCGTGATTTATGTGAATCGTAACCCACACCGTGCAATCAAATGGGCAGACAGCAGTTCCAACGCCGACAGCTGTACCAGTATATACATGTCGGCGCACGAAACACAATTGACGGACGGTATGTATTCATCTATTTTTAACATATCCCGACAGTGTTCGAGTTAATCAATGTTATGGATTCATAGTCAACATCCAAAGGATACTAACAAATATCTGGCCCTGTGCAAGCTTTACTTCACGTGAATTTTAACTAAAAATAACCTCACTATCCGATGAGATGCGGCATTTTTATTTTTAAGTCACAAAAACTTATATATTCTCATGATAATAAATCCTTTTATCATACGATTCGTAAACGTCAACATTTCGGGATATGTTGAAAATAGATGAATACATACCGTCCGTCAATTGTGTTTCGTGCGGCGACATGTATATACTGGTACAGCTGTCGACGTTGGAACTGGTGTCTGCCCATTTGATTGTACGGTGTGTAACCGGTGCGCGAGTTTGAGAAGTTGAATGCCATCATCGGTTACCAAGGTATATATGCCGAACATGCTTCATTGTCTATGTATAAAGTACGGAATATATACCGTTGGTATCGTTCGATGAGGAAATGCAGACCCACTGAAATATGTGTGTAAACAAGACGTTAGATAGAAATAAAAACAAATAAAAAGATACCTAGTCAAATAAAATAGTAACAGATGAAAACAATTAACAAATTTCTTCATAGATTAATGATACTGGCATATGTAAATGATGGTGGTATAAAATCAAACGTTTTCATAGTAAGAATTAAGAAAAATATGATGTAGGATTTAATATTATGAAGAAACGATCTGATGAATTTAAACAAACAAAATATTACATGTAGAAAAATACGTAATTGATTAACCTGTCCAAACTGGCATTGAGTCACCTCTGTACACTTGCTCATGTCGGAGCTTCTAGAGCAATTAAAACATTGTAAACAATCTGGAAAATATGTCGGTAAGTTCTATAAATGTGAAAAATATATATTATATATAATACTCAAAAGCCTTTTCTTGTATTAGCGCGCTTTAACACAAGTAAGAACAATAACAAACGAGAATTAATCGCTTTCTTCTTTCTAAAAAACATTTTGCAGTGTCGAAGGTTCATCCCAACCAAATGATATTAAACAGCAGCAGCATCAGCAATAAAACAACAACAACACAGCCACCACTAACAACAACGACAGTATATGTTAATCTAAACTAGCATAGATGTTCAAGTTCTCGAGACACCTTTGACTCAGATTAATGCATTGCTCATTAGAAGACCAAACTGGGATTGGTACGTTAACCACATCTATGAAGACCAGATGACATTTCATAAATACATCATCTATGTCAGATATGTACATAACTTAAGCCAAATTGCAATAAATATTGACTTACAGTACCTGAAATAAGCAATATGTTTTTTAAATACGCATTTTTACAAAATATCACGCCTCTTATTGCCTAAAATTAAGCAATATTACATGAATTTGAGTACTATTCCCATAATTGCATTTCTATTTTCGCCTCGGTCAATATGTCATCTGCCGGTGAATATCACATCATATTCATACACACTGGTCAATATGTGTATTATTATCAATATCACGATTTACTCTGTCATGTTATATATAGTATGTTTGTAATATGTTTTCCTCATGGGCGTATTAGCCTACTGGAAATGAAGCAATAAATAAAATTCTAAAAAAAATCATGAATATCGCTCCGTAACATTCTTTTGCAAGATTTCTTTCGCAAATTACACAAAAATACTATTTTTGGACAAGAAATTATACCGGTATCAAATATCCTGTAAAGAATCAACAATGATTAAAACTCCCTTAAGATGGTCCAACGACTCGAAGTCTCTTAAAATACAGGCTGCTGCTAGAAATATATCAGCGCTGCTAAATCATAATAGTTGGGTAAACTTACATAAATGTACTCCAGATATTTTGATACACGGAGAAAGTCCGATTATTGGAGAGGTCATCAGACCTCTCCACATTGTTTAGAATGATTGCTGGCGGCATCCATTTTTGCGTATCAAATTGAATCTAATGCATCGTATTTTAAGCCTTTAAACATTAGAATAAGTCTACAAAAATGTTATGCGCATGCTCCGCCTCAAAATACGACTTAACTTAAACGAAAAATAAACATCGAAGTGAACAAATCGGTACAAGAAAAAATCGGAAAATATCATTTACGTTACTTAACGCTACGAGCAAAGATTCATTTCATTTTTAATCCTTTAAACTGTATAAATCGATACTTGTTTTCTGAATAGCGTTTAACTATTTCATGTTCCGAAAATAAGGAAGCACTATCATATGACCGAGTGTACGGTGTACCGAAAATTTGCTGTTACTTTCACTTTTGAACTGGTATGACTAAAATATGCAACGGAGATTTTTGGCGAAAATGGCACAACTTTTTCTCAAGTTTGATTTTCTTGCCATATTGAAGTTGAAGGCATACAGCAGTATATATTGTTTATTCCAATCAAATGATATATACAGTATTAAATCTGGGACTTAAAATTGTTTGATTAACATACTTTATGCCCGTTTTGGAAAATCTCTGGTGCCTTTTATATATCCAAATATTTTCGAAATTAACAAATCATCAACAGCTGCAAAAAGACCTCTCGCATGCTTCTTTTTAAAGAAGCAACCTTGTTTAGAGTGGTTTTGCTTGTTCACTCAACAGGAGACCAGGATTTAACTGATAGGGAATTCTTGGACATCCCTTCCTCTCAGGTCAATCACAACTATCGTTTGGTTAGGGCAACTACCATCACCAACACGGTTTATAAAAGTTTATCACCCAAAAATAAAAATTTGCAAAATCATGCTTAACTTTTATAATGAAAATCTTACCAACACTTTCTTTGATGACTAGGATCAGTGCTACCTGAACTGAAAAACAAAAACAAAACAATAACAACAACAACAAAAAAAAACAACAAACACTAACAGCACAAACAAACAACACTAACAACACTTACAAACAAACAAACAAAATAAACAGCACTAACAAACAACACTAACATAAAAACATTATCAAAATCCTTGCCAGCACTTTCTCTGAACCAAGGCCCTTTTGCATTTATATTACAACTGTTTCCGTAGCCTTGCAGCAATGTGGTGGCATTTTCTAGCCATTTAAATTTTGTCTACGTTAATCGCAAATCTGTGTCAGTCAAAATGCGGAGAGATCTTCCACCAAACATCTCTTTGTTCGCTCTCTACAATACTCAGATGATATCAGTATTTTTTGTTTGTCTTTAACTTTATAATTTACATTTTGAGTTATACAACAGTTCTGACAGACTATGAAAGGATATTCGCTTTGTTTTATCCCATGAAGAAGAAACGTAACTTACATATCATCCTGTTATATTTCATCATTTATTTCGTTTTTCGCAACAGGCCTTTGAGAGTTTATTTGCTATTTTGGTTGTATAAAATGAACGTTAAGTTTTTGTGGCATTTATCAATTAATGTACTAACATTGCGATAAGACTTGAACTACTTGGGCGAGATAACATCAAACCTTTGGTAATATGTTCAAACGTAATTTAAGTTTTTAAAATTCTCGGCAAATCAAATTTTGTTAGATTAATAACTAAATACGTGCATAAAGATGATTAAAACTATACTGTAACAAATGTGTCATTTGAGAAATTTACATGCATGTGTCCTTCGTGGGATTTATTATTTCTGTTCCATTATTTTGTTCTTACAAAGTTAATGAAATTCCCTTTCCTATGGTGGTTGATTTAGTACGCTTTTGTGCGTCTAGTTGGCGCTAGCGACAACACGACAAAGCGCCAAACTGTGACGCATGTGTGTATTTATTCTCTCATTTCTATTATACTGGTATCTTTATCTGATCCCACGAAGGAGAAAGTAAAACTGTATTGAATTTAATTATCTCCCTTTATACATTATCTGTCTAAATTCATTGTCCCTTACGAATCTACTTCATCTTGCAGATCCAGTTGACTTTCAGAAATAGATATACATGTATAGTTCTCTGGTCCCAATCAGTGAAAATGACAATAAAAATGTCACCGTGCGATTTGTGACTGGATATAAAGCTAAAAATCCCCATAATTTTTGTGATGGTGGATTAGCAGTGGCTATGCTTTCATTACTGTTCTGCTAGGCACTGAGTCGTAATTGGACTGGCATATCGATATGGTGGTATGTGTGTATTTATTCTCTCATTTCTACATATATACGCATATGTATCTAGTTAATGCTTAATGAGGGTCCATCCGCCTTTCGGCACAAAATGCAGCTTTCGCTGTCGAGTACGGACCCCGGACATGTCACCAGTCATGCCCTTAAAGAGTTAATTTTGATGCACAAAGTGGTGATAATTTACCTCCATGCAATTTCCACGAGAGTATTGGCCAAAGATATGAGCCAAAAGTAGGTCACTGTACGGCGGTCAATGAAAACCTAAATGTACAGTAACCTGTGACAATATGAAAGGTTAGCCCTGAAAAAGGCTGTTGGTGCCAGCAAAAGGCCTGCCTTACAAGCCGTCTATCTGTACTAGGTGCTCACGCTCCCTAGCACACCATCCTTGTCGTCTCAGCCTACTTTGTAGGGCCACTCCCCTCGGCATTAGTCAGGACACCGGCAGCTGGTCCGCAGTTGTTGACGAAGTAGCGATCTTGTTGTTACAGCCTACGGGGGGCTTCTATTTAGTTGAGTTGTGTTTGCTACAAGCCAAGCTGCAAATCTTCTGTCGATGCCCTGTGCCTTCTCAGCGACGTGCACGCTTCGAGGGGAAGTGAGAAGATATATACGTATATGTATTACAGAAGAATATATATCTATATAGTCAATTAATGCTCAAATCATTTTAAATTCAATAATTTAACCTTCAAGGTCAAGATCATTAAAGAGCCAATGTCAATTTGAGTTTAATAAATATAAAGGTCTTTCCCTAAGAATGTTCTGTTACAATATGAAGTAAATCCATTCAATAATAGCAAAGTTACAGCCAGTTACAGCCATGAAAGGTCTTGTCCCAAGGGTTGTTGTGGTCAAGTATGAATTCAATACACCAAGAAATTAAAAAGTTGTGATCCAGGTACACGCGGACGGCAACGGCAGTCGAGCTAAAAATTGTGCCTGATTGTATGTTGAAAGGGCCATTTATTTAGCTTAAAGCTCTAAATGTGACATGGATGGAAGAAACTTGACTAGGTGTAGACGAGGCCTAAGACATTAAAGGCATCAGACCCGTTACCAAATCTAGCCAAAATAAAACACCATACCTGTGACCTCGCTTTACAATATAAAAGTCGGCTGCCAGAACTATGTCCGCACAACACTATCCATATCATTAAAAAACACAAACTTTAAAAGGTAAATTTCTTCTAAACGAAATTGTTTCCTAGTTTTTTAAGTCAACAAATAGATAATTTAAAACTTAGATGTTATATATCAGCGCAATGCAACAGCTCTTACACCGATGTGTTTTGTTCAAATGCGAAACAGTTCCCCTTTAGGCGGAGACATTTTGACTATGCATATTTTAATTTTAGCCTGGTTCCACGACATTAAATGTTGGTAAACTACAGACAGTTGCACAGTCCAATATTTGTATATGGAGATTGTCTGTCCGTTTGCAGAAAAACAACAACAACAACAACAACAACAATCTAAATCTTATTTTTGTTATAAATTTAACTCAATAAAAAAGGTTTGGCAACTCAGTATTTTATAAAAATCAAAACGGTTCAATATTTGTTATTCTAGTAGCTTTTAATCTGGTATCTTATCGTTAGACTTTTGTCAAAAACTTTGAAGCGATGAAGATTCCACCAGCTGCCCATGTCGCCAGCCAGGCAATTATATCCAGGGCAAATCCGTAATCCAAATTAGTTCCATATAATTTACATTTATCAGCATATACTGCCATTGCAATCATCAAGAAAAATCCTAGAAAAGAAAAATTATTTCAATTCACAAGCATATACTCAATAACAATTTTGAAATAATGTAAAAAGATACTTATCTAAAAGAAATTATTTTGAATGATAACAACCAATACAAATATATATAAGAGAAAGCGCTTATCTAGAAGAATTCAAGAGCACGAACTTAAAAACAAATTTATCAGTAACAGGCGAAAATGAAACAAAAAATAGCGAGATTTTAGATACATGTAAATATTTTTGTGTCACGCTACTGGGCGTGAGGGGCATTTATAATAAATATACTTTGAAGGAAACATAAAAATCTGAATGCAATTGAATTTTGTTTTTTGAAAAGTATCAAACTGAATTTACGTTTATTTTTTTCTATATACTCACCAGAAGCGATGTCCAGGCCTCCTGCTATAAAGAGCAATTTCTGTTTATCCTTCATAACAACCATCAAAAGAATTGCACTCGCAATAGCTCCCGTTGTCGCAAATATGGCCAAAAATAGCATTGCCTTACAGGCATCAATAGACTTTCCCATCTCTGTAATAACATACGATTATTTAAAATTCAATTACAATTTATTTTTTCCTTTAAAGAGTCATACCATATTTCAAGCATCTTAAAATGGTATGATATTAAGCTTATTTGAAGAAAGTAGTAGGTGTAAACAATATTATAGTTAAGGATTTAGTATATGATCAAAAAGGAAAGTCAATGCTAAGGTTGTAAACCTGATCAGAGTTGTTATAATGCAAGAGATCAAGCAATTTTGATAGAAGGCACACATTTCTACCCTTATCTCCATCTGAATAATAAAATAAGGAATGCAAGAGATAAGTCATGGGAGCCTTCATCATGAATAAGAGAGGAAAAAAACTGCATTTACCTTTTTTTCCATCTTTAATATCCTGACAGATTTCCTTGCCCATGGATGTACTGCAACTTTTCCATAGCCCAATCTTAGATACAAACCCAACAGTATCGACTCTTTGCCTTTTATCAGCTTCTAATGCTATGATAGCAAACAGCAGGGTCAACCCTGATACTCCGATACCTACATACCATGACCGCACTGTACGCTATTCTGACACGAAATGACGATTTTTTGTCAATTTGTTTACTTTAGTTGCATGGTTACGAAGAATACTTTTAAAGGCAAATTCTTATTTCATGTTCGCTGTTTTTTTTTATTAATGTATGATGATTTAAAAGTTTGGAGCTTTCTCAAAACTTATTAGATATGTTTAAATAGTTTTTTTTTTCTTCATAGATATTAATATCTTCCACTGTTCTTCAAAGGATTATTTTCCAAATAATATTTTCTGGACCCACATTTTATTATGCATGTAAGATTAACAAAATCATTTCAGAAAAAAAAAGTTAGTGAATTCGTTTACAAGAGTATTTTTTCCATTTCTCTGTCTAAGAGGGATTTTACCGATCGTGATTTCCTATCTCTAAAACGGCTCAATGTTAATGATATAATAAGTAAGATTTTTCTTCTGAGAAATACACAATCCTATGTATTTAAATAAGAACAGAACAGAATAAAATTTCAAATAAGACAATCATGTAATTAGGACTGGGAATCAAAACTGCGTCGTATCCTACAGAATGTAAACAACCGCCGCCATCTGTGAACGAAAAATATATGTTTTTGTTATTACTCTCTTTGTTGGAAATGACTAAAAACCAGATATATGTATTAACACGCTCTTTGTTTGGTATATGTTGCTTGCACAACTATTTTGTAAAACAAAAGTTATAGCGAACTTGCAACTCGAAGCGGAGAAGAATTTTTATGAAAATGTGTGGATACGACGCAGTTCATATTGCTTTAACTATCGTTTTTTCCTTCAAATAAATTATATACTCATTTAAGAGTTTAGCATTAACTTCGAAATATAATTTTGCATCATTTACTGAAAGTTCATTAAAATAGAGATGTTTATTTTCCAAGAAAATAATGTTTTTAACGAAATGATACGATGCAGTTGAAATAAAATATGATACGACGCAGTCGTATTTTTTGGCAGTCTTTTCAACAGGGATAATTTTGGCAATATATGTTTATTCTATGGAATAATCACTTGCGCTAGATAAAAACCAAGATTATTTGCGCTGTATAACGATGTTCTGTTGCTTTTGATTATTTAGAATACATTGTGTACATTATTATCTGTATATATATTGTGAATTTGTTCCAAATAAACTATGTTTAAACTTGAATACATTGTGTCATATTCAATATAACACTTAATTTGAAAGTTTACATTGCGGAAACTACTTTTCATCTGTTCGTCGAATATTTCATACTCAGAATTATTATCCAAGTGTTTTTATTAAGTATTAACGGTACGCTGTCATGCATATTGTAATTGGTTTAGTTCGATTGGGAAATCACACCAAACTTGTTGAACAATGTTCAAAACATATTAATATGTTTATAATGGGACGAATTTAATTTTAAACGATAAATTAATGAAATACTTATTTAAAAAACATTTACAGCAGCATCTATTTGTAGTCATTTACTAAAATAAACACACATACAAGTATCATTCTATAAATACGAGCTGTTACGATTCACTTTACATGAACCACGGTTGTAATTAAAGCCGTCTGGGTAAACGTCATTCTTTATTGGCATGCATATTTCACTTATTTCACAAGTTATTTTCTTTTTATTGTTACCATAAACGGCAAATCAACAATATTATCATAACAAATAAATCGGTAACAACACCTTTTATTTTGTATCAATCAACCTTAATTACCTTTGTCACGATCACGAGATGTTAAAAACATGTCGACTTGCCTTTTTGTGTTCGACCGAAAAGGTGTGATTTTCACTATATTTCTGCCGAAAGGACCAGAGATCAGGTTCGAGAGTTCGAGCGATCGGTGTTCGAGCGATCCGAGGTAGAACAATATATATTATATAGGAATTTTACCGGGACTGGGCGATGAGTTCGAGCGAAGGGAGGTATTTTAGCGAGCCGAGTTCGAGCGAACGAAGTTTAACTGTATTTTCCTGTATGTTCAATATTATCCCTATTTTTTGAGGGACGGACCGATTTACTAATGTTATTTGAACTTGTGGTCCAACCCTTTTTCTTTCAAAATGTATTTATATATTTTTCTTTCTATATATTTGCATTGTACATATTGTAAAAATTGAAAGGAATAAAATATGTTAAAGATAAAACTAAACTATTTTTTTGGCAAAAAATATAGAAGTCTATGAACCTGAATTTATTTTGGCTAGCTACGCTCGAAGTAAACCGTGGCTCTGCATGTTCTGGGTAATAACTTTTTTTAGGTTTGCTTTCAAACTTTCACTCTACACATTACTTTACTGGGGGCGAAGACCTTAGGTGCGCCTTTGTGCATTATTTCAGGCAAAATGTTGCACCTGCAGAGAACCATCGACACTTTGAAACCATCTTGATAGGTTTCCACATGAAATAATCAAAAGTCCCTGGTGCTTTTCGAATTCATAGCAGTTCATTTCAAGTGATTTGAAATCATTAAACATAAACAGCTCGGCTTCGGTCGAAAACCTGTCTGATTTTTTTTCCAGCAATTTGTCAACGTCAGCTGTACAAATAAGCAGTTTTAGTTTTTTTTATTAAATTTTGGCGTGAAGTTTTTAGATTATAAATATTTAAATTAATTATAAAGACAATAACATTTAAATTTTTTATTGAAATGAAATATTTCCTTAATCTCTTTTTACTTTGATATTTCGGTGCGAATAGCAGAGAAATTTTCAATGTAAACAGGGGGTAATCCTCTTTAAAATCATTTCTGAAAAATAATTGTGTAATTTTTCAAACAATTAATTTTCAAGCAAAAATAACACTTTAGTTTGAAGGTATGTTTAGATGCCGTGTCTCTAGTCCTTGGAAAATTCGATGCGATAATCTGACCTAAATTTTCTCTTCAATATAGTGAAAACTTCTTCAATACTATTGAAACATCCTGTCGTGCATACATCTGTATCAAATTTATCGGTGCAAAGCGTAAAATACCTTTGCAAAACGGATAAAAAAATATGTAATGCACTGATGAAGGCATATAGCCGAAACGTATGCAATAAATAATTACTGATTCGTGTTTGTGTGGCTTGTCTGTTTATTTTGCAAAAAAGGACACCTTCTTTACAAAATAATTTGTAGTTCTATCATTTGTAACTCGATTTTGAAAATTTAAAGTTTTTTAATGGAGAAGACTGATACTTTAGTGCAAAAATAGATAATACATTCCGTAGATCAGTTCTCATCGGCGATAATAAATTGCAATACGATAAAATCGGCGGTAATGTTCCGCGGCGCTGAACATAAAATGACTGAACGGAACGCATACCGTACTTGTAAAAATATATCGTAGCTTTAACATTTATAATATAATTTTAAAAATTTAATGTTCAGTTTCAAATAATAAAGCTGATCTGTTTTCACCGATTATTAAGTAAAAGACATAAATAATAACGGAATTGACGGAAATTATTGCTAATTATAAGTAACAAAGGTAGGCATGCAAATTGTACATACTTCTCTTCAGATAGCAAGAGACATTTATAAAATTTTTAATTCTTTTTTTTTTCCAAAAAAAGAGGTCATTCCTGATTGATACAGGGTCCAGGAAGGGTTACCCTGGAATATTGAATTTTGTATCAAAATTCTGTAAATGAAAAAGTTACCACCCCAATTTCGAACTCACGGGAACAAGTTTATAAGCATGCTAAGGCAACACTAGAACACGTAGTCATATTGGTGTGCGATCACGTTATTCAATGTATATTGCATTTGATACAGCTTTTCGGAATTTGTACATGTAGATGCTTATGACAGGAACTAAAAATGCGGCCGAAAAATGAAGCCTTAATAGAATTTTTATTACATTTTCCATTTTCTTGGAACCAATGAGTGACCTCTGCTTTTGACTTAAGTTGTAAACAAGAAATGTTGTTGGACGTTATTAGCATACCTAGCACATAAATTAATAGCTGAACCAATGTCCAGCCTACAATGAAAATAAAACTGCGTCATATCATATTTTATTTTCAATTGCGTCGTATCATTTCGTAAAAATCAATATTTCTTGGAAAAATAAACATCTCTTTTTTAATGAACTTTTAGTAAATGATGCAAAATCATATTTTGAAGTTTATGGTGAACTCTGAAACGAGTATACAATTGATATGAAGAAAAAAAAAGATAGATAAAGCAATATGAACTGCGTCGTATCCACACATTTTCATAAAAATTTTCTCCGCTTCGAGTTGCAAGTTCGCTATAACTTTGGTTTACAAAAAAAATGTGTGAAAGCAGCATATACCGAACGAAGCGGAAAATAAATGTAGCGTGTTAATACATATATGTGTGTCGTATCCACACACTTTCATAAAAATTATTCTCCGCTTCGAGTTGCAAGTTCGCTATAACTTTGGTTTACAAAAAGTTGTGCAAGCAACATATACCGCACGAAGCGGAAAATAAATGTAGCGTGTTAATACATATATATGGTTTTCAGTCATTTCCAACAAAAATAGTTTTTCATTCCAAGATGGCGCCGTTTGTTTACATTTTGTAGGATACGACGCAGTTTTGATTCCAAGCCCTGGTTATAGGAATGAAACAAAGTAAGTTATATTTTAAGAACAAGGGTTCACGACGAGTCTTTACCGCTCACCTAGGCTGCAATTATATTTGTCTTCGACAATAACAATGTCTATTTTTATCATCGTTTACGTATATCTTGACCTTAGTGACCTCGGATCCAACGCACCGGTAGATGTCCATTTGAATCAAACACAATCATGATATCATATATTAAGTGAATAAATCATGATAAAACTGTTCAAGGCATTGAGCCATGTTACAATCAGATATCTGGATACTAGGTCTTATTTTTTCCAGGTAGAAATAATAAAGTACTGTTTGTAAATAAGTCTTTTATACCACATGCTAATATTTTGCGGGAACAGTTTTGAATTTATAGCCATG